TGCATTACAGGAAAACACGAGCCATCAAAGGCCAAACGGTGGCTCGTCCCTGCCCAGTGGTATGGGGAGGCATCAGGCTCCGTGGGCACTGCGTGTCGTTTGGATGATTACTTTGAGGAGAAAGGGATGAAGAACAGTTTTCGTGGGCCCACAGCTGCACACGGTGCCTCTTCTGGGTACCACATCACTCATACATAAACAGGCTGTGCTTGTAACGTGTGGTTTCTAGTAGTCCATGAAGGAAGTTTCTCCTTTTTGGTTTCTAGTCGGTTTTGCCTTTTTCTTTGGAGAGAGAAAGAGAAAAAATTCAAGTTCAAAAGCTTGTAGTCATGGTGGAGCTTATTGAGCAATTAATTTAAATTCCAGTATGTGAGTGGATAAGCACAAAACAGAAAAGCTAAGGTTGCTCTTACCAACTTTGGAAAGACAGTTCTCTTCAGTACGGCTTTGGTGCAGTACGGGGTTGGGGTGATCTGCCTATCCACACAGTTTCCTTTCCTGCAAATGGACTAGTGCTTCCGTCCTTCTGCGAGTAGGTGCAGGGTTGCCACTTCTTGTGTCACACCTCCAGTCTGGAGTAAGGTGATTATTTCGCTGAGCCTGAGAAGTTGATGCATATAAAAAAAAAAAAAAGGCTGGGAAAGCCTGGATTTTTGCCAATACTTAAAAAGCACTTAAGATGTCTTAAATGCCTGTGAGTAAGCATTCAGAGCAGGCCAATGCGTTTGCTAGAGAGTGAATCCAGAGCTCTTTCATGTCGCTAGATGTGTGTGGCCAATTTGTGAGACTTCAGCTTTCTGCTGTTGTTTCCCCACGCCCTAAGACAGAGTCAACATATTTTCAGAAGTAGCTTTGGTGTGGTGAACACCTTGGGAGGTGCAAGAGCTCTTCAGTGCGGAACAGTGTGGGCACTGCCTTTCTGTCAGCTGCGTATACCTAGAGGCAGGTACATCTCTATAAGTAAATCATAGAATCATTTAGGTTGGAAAGACCTTTAAGATCATCTAGTCCAACCATTAACCTAACATTACCAAGTCCACCGCTAAACCAATTAAGGGGAGAGTAATAATTAATTTCATGTTTCCTGGCTTGGTGGCATGAAGAAATCACAATAAAGTCGTATTGCCTACTCAAATCTGAAGAGATTTTTTTACCCGAGAGTATCTACTATGTCTTACTGGTTTGTGGTTTGTTTTTTTTTTTTTTTTTTCTTTTTAAATTATTTTGATTCCAGGCAAGAGAACTTCAGACTCTTCACAACCTACGCAAACTGTTTGTGCAAGATCTCACCACCCGCGTTAAAAAAGTAAGACTACACTCTTCTAAACCAAAGTAGTATCTTTTTTGCAGTATTCTTGTGATTTGCTGGAAGCCTTTAGTGCATGTTGTTACAAAATGGGTTATTGTCTTTTTCAATAACAGTGAGTAGTAAGATTAAAACTGTTCTGATGTTTATTAGCTTTTATTTGGTCCTAATTTGTTAAGGACAACTCTTGGTAGTTAAGTGAAATGAACCAATCCAGTTCGGTTCCGTTACAAAATTCTCAAAGATGGTATTAATGGGTACCAGAAATTATTCAATATGACTTGCGCTAGCTTATGCTACACTGAATGCTGCGGTCCTTTCTTTCTATGGGCTTGTGACTAGTCAGCCTTTTCCTGGCAAAATTATTCTTTGGCAGAAATGAATGTATCTTAAACTGTTGAAGAGGAGTCAGAAGCTGCATAAATAGTCGAAGGCTTCGCAATGCTTTTCGGTCCTTAGAGTAGTTTTGGGGAAGAGTTTTTATGCTTTTTTTTTTTTCAGTGGAAAACCCATATTACATAAAAATGTCTCCCAAGAGTGGAAAAAAGAGGGAAAAGGGGTTTTCCCCACTAAAATCTATGGTTTTCCTATTCAGAATCCCCCCATAATTATTCAGTAAGAATAGTTTATTTTTTGTGTAGCGGGTAATGGGGCTTTTAAATATCAAATGAACAGGTAAAATAAATTCTCTTTAATTTGGGGCTCTGGAAGACTTTTCTGCCTTTGGGAAGCTTAAACTCACAAAAGACCTGAGCTTCCTCCTGAGTTTCTGCCTGGCTTTGCTGAATGCTGCAATTCTCTGTGCAGAGCGTTGAACTTGACAGCGACGACGCAGGCGGAAGTGCTGCGCAGAAGCAGAAAATTTCCTTTCTTGAGAACAACCTGGAACAGCTTACAAAGGTTCACAAACAGGTAGGGGCTCTGCTTGCTGCCGGTGCCTAGTGACTGTTAAATCAAAACCTTTTGTGTCTTTTTCATTGATTAATAGTAATTGCCTCTGAAAACTCTGAGAGTTCTCTGAAAACAGCTGTGAGAAAAACTTTACGTGGATCACTGTTCCATAGTATTACAAATTACCTTTTTTAAAAAATTCATACATTTTTAATGTTCAAATATAATATTTGAAGGTAACATGTAGGTACAATCTGAGGAAATGGTACCTATATTCCCAACTACAGTTCTTGGCATTAGGGGTTGGTATGAGAGCTGCTCTTCCCACTACCCATACTTTTTATGAATGTGTTAAATAAGCAATTATTTTTCCTGTGAAAATAGACTCTAGCAGTTTTGGCAAGACTAATCGTCACCATATTGGTGTAATGCATAAAACCCAGAATAAAGTGTTTGTTATTACGTTGTGTGCTGATTGCTGGTTTCTAGATGGATTGTGTATCCCCAGTTTTGACTCCTGGTTTTAAAGCTGCTTAGAGGCACCCTCGGAGGTGACTTAACTGGAGTCAACCAGCAGAGTATGAAAGCAAAGAAATGCAAGGGCTGGTACCTCCCTGGGATGCTGAGGTTGGTCATTTCTGGGCATGTCCATCTCTGTCTCCTCCCTCTTTCATGGAATTCCCGTTTCCTTTGCAATTCTGCTGTTCAGAGAGACAAGGGCTACAGAGAGCCCTTCACCATCGGTATCCACCGCGCAAATGCGGGGTGGAGGGGACGTGCGGTGGGCAGGTATATGTCAAGGAAAGAGCCTTACCCTCTGCTTACTGGAAGTGTGTATATGCCAATGGTGTGTGTCTATATCTGGGCAGCACCTCATTAGATAAAACTGGATCATTTCTGCCAATAAGTATGCTTCCACTCTCTTACAGATGTCAGTATTTCTGATCTGTGTGCCGCTGCTCAGGTGCGGAGCACAAAACAGTAAAGATGCTTTTGATTTCATTTGTGAATAGTGACATAACATTCTCCAGTGCAGTATTCTGAGTCTGTTGTTAGTGAGACACAGTGCTTGCCGAGATTTGCTTTATTTATTCCCGTGGAAGTGCCAAAAAAGCAAACAGTGCCGGACCGTGACAAGTGTCCGCTAAGGTTCAGTATTTTGAGATTCCCAGTGAACAGATGGTTTAAAGACCTAGTTTCTAAATGTGGAAATTGGGACATGTTAGGAGCGTTTTTCCTTTTACTGTTTTGCCTTTTTTGCACTCGTTCACACATCTCCTGGGTTTTCAGATACGGATTTTTATAGCTCTCGTTAGCGTATATTTACTCAAAACCAACTAGGAGTCCATGTCTCACAAGAAACTCAGAGAGAAAAATGACATTGGACTTGACCTGAATGTGATATCATCCTGCTCTCATTTCATATCATAACTATTTCGTAGAACAAGCGTTCAACACTTGCAGAGAAAGCACGTTGTGACAATTTTTTTTTAGCTTTGTTTGTGTTTTTCTTCTGGCACTAAGCCTGGACTAGCAGGTGTAAAACATTTTGATTGTCAAACAACGTGTGAATGTTAGTACGTGCTGTTGCTTTACTGTATTATTAATGGGGTAGTTAAACCACTTTCTTCCCTTCACTCCAGAAAAGGGAGAATCATTCCTTTGGAACAATTTTCTGTTGACTTCTAGTAGTGGTATAATCTGTTCAGTAGAAATTGTACTGGATTTTCTAAAAGTTTGCATCACCTTTTTATTCATGAAAATATCAATTCTCTATCTTGGCTATTGTTGCATGTGAAGTTAGATGCTATTCTGATAATTGATAGACCTTGCTCAGGTTCATATTTTACTGAGGAAGTGCACAAATTCAGAGTTGCATATAATCACCACATTTATAGCTACAGGCCTTAAGTGATTTCTTAGTGATGTTTGAGGCATTGAAGGTTCCGATTTTCCCATATGCTTGAGTAGGGAACAAGTAGGTAAGCATGCCATAACCAGTGGGGATGATGAATTTTTGATGATAGCCAGTGTTGTCTATAAGCCATATTTAAGCACTGCCATTTTGAAATAATGAGGTGATCAAGTATTTGTGAAATGCCGGACGTTTCTGCGTTCTGAAGAAATGCAGTTTCTGCAACACTTGCTCTTAAAGTCTAGAAAAGTGGATATCGTAGTGGCAGGGTTTGTCTGGGAGCCCTTGCCCTCCAGGATCAGGTCTGTGAAGTTTTGTTGAATGGAATAAACTCACTTGTTCTTGGATCTTTCTGGAAAATGTAAATTAATACCATACCTCAGCTAGACAAATGAACTGCATGATTAAAAATAAATCTCTCTTTGATGTAAGCTTTTTACAGCTATTTCTGGAAGAAACCTGTTTCTTTCATTCATGGTATACGAGGTGTGCGGAGGAATCGGTGATATTTTGTCTCTCCTTGCAAGAGGACCTTTCCCATAGTTTCTCATTTTTGAAACTTCTTTTCTTGCAGTTGGTACGTGATAATGCAGATCTTCGTTGTGAGCTTCCTAAGCTGGAAAAACGACTTAGAGCTACGGCAGAGAGAGTTAAGGCCCTGGAGAGCGCACTGAAGGAGGCCAAGGAGAACGCCATGCGAGACCGCAAACGGTACCAGCAGGAGGTGGATCGCATTAAGGAGGCTGTGAGAGCCAAAAACATGGCACGGAGAGCACACTCTGCTCAAATTGGTAAGGACATGGAGCTAAAGGGTTAGTGGTTGCTCACATACTTCATGGTTGGTCTGTTTGCTCATGCTTAAATGGAGAGAGCTTTGAAAGCAGCAGTCCGGGGCAAACCGCAGGGTCTGCTTCTCCTCTGCTGCACAGGAATCTTCAAAGACTTCACTTTTTAATAGAATCTGCCCCACCTAAAGTTTAAAGTGCCTCTGCTATTTAACTCGGTAAATAAATGGCATAATGGGTCTTGTGTGCCCTTCTAGTGACCCGAAAACTTGTCTCTTTAAATTAGTCTCTCACTTTCTTCCTTCTCCCCCACATACTCTCCTTCTGCTTTCATTCTTTCCTTGCCTTTCTGGACCTTGACCCTTCTTCTCTTTTTCCCTGATTACTCATCCTGCGGATTTAATTTGGACCGTGTAGAGTCAAAGATCTTCCTACATAATCCAGATGCTTGATATAGCTCTGTGGCGCAATCTGAATGCGTGCATACTATCAAATGGCATTTAAGATGGGGCAGCGTTTGAAATTATTTGTTGGAATTGCTAAAGTAGAAGGATAATGTTTTGGATGGTGATGCTGATACTGGTGCATTAAAACCTGAGACAGAATTAGGCAGCACGCAATATTCCCCGCTGTATGCTACCTCTTGTAGAAAGCCATTGACAGCTTTGTCTCCGCATCTTCTGGGATGATACAAATGGTCAAATTGGATGTAGAAGGTACATCACTGACCACCAAGCGGGTCCTGACTTCCCTCTGTTGTACAGACAGTCCGTAATCTTTGCCGAGATGGGGGGTGTGCATGGGATGGGTAAATGGCTCTGTCACAAGCAGAAAATGGATGTATTTGTTGTTGGCCGAGGTAAGGGAACGTTGTGTTCCGCAGAGCTAGATTACAGGCTACTCTGCCAAGCACGGCTCCTTGTTTGGCAACAGGGGGGTTTGTAGTAGAGGAGAAGGTGAGGTAGAAAACCTTGTGTGAAAGCTAAATGTCTCGTTTGGTTTCCTATTTTCACTCTGCAGCCAAGCCCATCCGCCCTGGTCATTACCCAGCGTCTTCTCCGACGGCTGTCCATGCCATCCGAGGGGGAGGGATGTCAAACTCCAGCTACTATCACAACACCAAATAGACGAGAAGTAAGACCAAAGTAACTTACTCATCTGCTCTTTCGCTGGTCGCCCAGTTTCCTTATATTTCAGTCTTGCTTTTAGAAGACCCACAGTATTTTTTTTCTAGTTTTAGTAGGAGTTGTTTGCTGGTAATTTAAATGTGAAAATTAGTAATTTAAGTGAGGAGTGCCTTGTTAGAATGCTTTGCAAGCTGCTGATGAGTCTTTTAATGACTTACCGCTTAAAACTTTTTTAATAAACTAAAATGCTCTGGTAAATCTGTACTGAAATTCACACATAGAGGTGTGAAATTCATGTAGTAAAAATAGAGTTCCAGAGGTTCTTTCTCCCACTATAATTTGCTGCTTTCTGTAGCGTGAATACGTTTCAGTGTTGTGATATTCCAGCCTGGGACAGAGGTAGAGCAGCCGTAAGTGGCAGCTGCACAAAGCTCTCCAAATTTGAGTGTCACAATTCGGCAAACTTTACTTTTGTTGCTTTTGCTTCGCACTCTCATTCATCCCTCTGCAGAAAAAAATGTAAATGTTTTCCTTTAATTGCAAGGGCTTGAGGGTTTCTCCTAAGCAAAAATCTCATCCTGGAAAGATGAGCAGCATATTCCCATGAGACTGGTACATAGGTACCCTCCCCTCCCAATTGTTTCTTTAAATGCTCATTATTTCTGAGACATTTTACATCTGCTGTTATTTTAGATGATAACTTTATGTTACAGGCTTATTAAGAGTTGGATGGTAGTGAGTGGCTGTGAAAAGCAGCCAGTGGACTGCTAAGTTGTCCCTCCAAGTTTGGCTTTTTTCCTTCCTTGAGGATTAATTGTGTCTTATGACTCTCTTCTGATAGTATGTGGTTTCCTTTAGGCACTCGGCA